AACAGCAACGCTGAGTTATTGTCATAACTACAATTATGTCGGGCCGTGGTGGGCAGACAGCCTGGGTTCAAAAACGGCAAAAAACGATTACGGGAATTTACGGCTACTTTTACTGAAATTGCCTTTTCATTGGGCCTCGCTGCACTACTCTTGAAATGTGCAAAACGAGAGTGAATCTTCCGCTAGAATATGGACAGATACACCGCCATGATGTTTGTCTTTTGTGCATTTCAAGAGTAGTGCAGCGAGGCCCATTGTTTCAAACTCGGCGCCTGAATTTTTTTGCCCGCGCGTGTTTTTCTTGGCCCTTTCGAAACTCAACAAGTGATGCGGCGGCACTTGTTTCCTTTTTTTTTTTCTTTTTTTTTTTGTGGTGATGGGGGGCGGCGCGCGGTGCATACTAAATTACTAATCTTCTCTGCATTGTGGACGGATACATACCAAATTGCTAATCTTCTCTGCCGTGTATCTGCAGTGTATCTTCTTTGCCCGAGCGTCGAGCGAGCTTTGACATGCCAAACAGTGAAGATTAGCATGCCCTTTGGCGTCCTTGGCGTGTCCAAACAAGGTACAACATTTTATTTTTTTTATTTTTTTTTCGGACAACATCAATTTTGGATATGGCCTTGGTTGGGGGTCCAAACAAGGTTACAACATCAGTAATTTTTTCGGATACTCGGTACGCATTATGGAGTCATTTAGCGTTATATTGACTTTTCTAACAAGAAAGAACCACAAAGCCAACTTGAAGGGGGGAAAAAAAAAAAAAAAAAAAAAAAAAAAAAAAAAAAAAAAAAAAAAAGCCAGGATGGGTGGATATGTAAACTGCAACCAGTGGGGTAAAAAAAAATAATAATAATAAATAAATAAATAAATAAAAAACAAACAAACAAACAAACAAACAAACAAACAAACAAACAAACAAACAAACTGCAACCAGTAGAACGCCTACCTTGGTGGAATTTGGTAACAGTTGTCGGAGTGTGGAGAGATGACCATTGATTCTCTCCCTCCTCTTTCTTTCCGCCTCGCTATGAGTTCTCAATGCGGACAGCGATTTGCTATCGAGTAATGGTTGATGTGGCATTACTTGATGGGCCGCTACCCTGATCTGTCCTGCTCTTCCTCCTCCTCCTCCTCCTCCTCCTCCTCCTCCTCCTCCTACGCCTACTCCTCCTACTCCTCCTTCTCTGCCGTCATAGACGCCTCGAGCATCACCGTTACCACTACCACCTTCGTCCACCATCGCCATGACCTCTCTCTCTTCTTCAGAACCTCCGGCAGAACCAGCAGCTTTGCGGTCTTCTTCAAGGTCTATCAGATCGTCTTCTTCTCCTCCTCCTCCTCCTCCTCCTCCTCCTCCTCCTCCACTTCGGCTGCCGCCCTTGGATCGTAATGAAACATGCCTAAGCAGGTTGTCGTGATGAAAGATCTTCTCGTCATCGCTTGCCACGTGGCCCGTTCGATTACAAGTTTGGCTTGAAATTCCATTTTCTCCTCCTCCTCCTCCTCCTCCTCCTCCTCCTCGTCGCCCTCCACCTGCTCTGCTTGACCCGCTGCCCCTGGATCCTGGTGCCAGGTGTCCGAGCAGTGCTGTTTGCTGAACGTCGGATTGCTTCTCGATGGACAGGTGGCAAGCTCCGCTGCAACTCCCTCCTCCTTTCTCTCTCAATCCTCCACCCCCTCCTCTGCGTTGATCTGAGACGAACAGGTGCGCATGACCACCATTATTATACCGACCAAACTCACCAATTTCTTGTTGACAGACAGCCACTCCCGATGGTGCTGCTCGCAGCGGCCTCGAACCTTCGCAAACTGCCTGAGAAGGGTGTTGTTCCTGCTGACGCTGATGCAGGGGATGCCCGGGATGGACATGAGCAGGAGAAAGAGAAGAGGCAGTAGCAGGGAGAGGAGGAGGAGGAGGAGGAGACGAAGAAGAAGGGTGGTAATGACGGTGGCGACTGTCATGTCCGCCATCGCCGGCATCGAAGTGAAGGTACCGGGAGTGAGAAGTCGGCATGTCCGCCGGGAAAAGACTACGTGGTGCCATGGCCGCTCCACTACTAGCTCCTGTACAGCGATACCGCTGCTGCTGCTGCTGCTGCTGCTGCTGCTGCTGAGGGTGACTAAGGTGCTGACTTGAGGCCATGCTCCACCTTGCAGCTGTCCGTCCTTCATCGCCGTGATGTGCTTGTTGCCGCTCGCGTGGGTGAAAATCGTTCCGGTGGTTATGATGCTGAGGAAGCTGAAGATGACGGGATCCATTGTTGCATGGCTGATTATCGTTATGCTGTCCCTCCTTCATCGCCCTGATCTTCTTGTTGCAGCTAGCCGTAATCCCAGCATGTGTACATGGGTGTGAGAGAGACGGAAGGCTACCGGTAGTACGAACTGGGCTCAGTGGGCTGTGATGATGATGATGATGTTGATGATGGTGTTGATGATGTTGATGATGATGCGGGGAACTCTCGGCCATCGTTAGATCTTCACTCAATTTGTCGTTTTCTGGAATCGAAGACACGTAGGAAGAGACAGCAGCTGGTGAATCTGGACGGTGTTCGCTCCACTGTTCATCTTCTCCGTGATCATAATGATTCTCACTCGCTGATGCATCGACTTCAGTTGACAATGTGCCAGACTGAGTTCGAACTCTAGTTCCGGCAATCTCCACGGCTGCAGTAACTGCAGTAGTAACTGCCGTAGTAACTGCGGTAGTAACTGCAGTAGTAACTGAAGTAGTAACCGCAGTAGAAAGTCCAATTACCATAGTCGAGGGCGTTGTTTCAATCGAAGAGCTTGGGGAATCCATCAGCGGCAGAACTATGACAACGGTGGTCCCCACAAGTGCCAGACTGAGTTCGAACTCCAGTTCCCGCAAGTCCGCCGCCTGAGTTAAGCGGCCACCTCTCCTCGCAGCCTCCTCCC